ACCAGCAGTGCATAAGAGTTCTGATCTCCCTGCAGCCTCTCCAACATTTGTTATTTCTGGTTTTTTTGATTCGTGCCAGTAATGCCGGGGTGAGATGGTATTTCATTGTGGTTGTAATTTGAATTTGTTTAATGGCTAGTGATTGCGAGCATTTCCTCATGTGTCTGTTGGCCGCTTGAATGTTTTCTTCTGTGAAGTGTCTGTTCATTTCCTTTGCCCATTTTTAAATTGGATTATTTGTCTTTTTATTGTAGAGGTGTTGGATTTTCTTTAAGCTGAATATTTTGGCTGAAGTTTTTAATTGGAGAGTAAACAGGTGGTTACGTTTGAGCAAATGACTTACTCATTTCCTGCATCTTGAATCAATCATTATAAAACTCACAGAAGATTCCTCAAAGATTTACACCTTAGGGAAACAAATCAACATGTTAAATAAAGTGCAAGAAACTTTTCAGTGAGACTTTAAAGAAGAAATGCTAGATGGCTACTTCTATTCATTGTATTCAAGGAACCAACTAAACAACTGTGATTTTTGGTTCTTTGAATTTATAATTTCTTTTGTAATTACACCCTTTTGTCATGTCTTTGGGATATAATGTGGAAGCATTGTAGAGGATATTATTATAAAAATTGTCCACTTCATAAGAAAAAGTGAAAATTTCTCTAGCTGTATGCAGAACTTGTGCTGAGTTTATAGTAAATTATATCCATGACATATATCCTTCAAGATACTGTTGATTTGGAACAGTAAGTGGTGATGCCTGAGAAGAAAGTGTTCTGTGAAACTCTAACTGCCTTTATAACATTTTTAGTCCATACTGAAGTGAGGTTTTGTGGTATTTTTATCTTCATTAATGAACGGGCCTGATAAATGAGACAGAGGAGCTCTGTGACTGCACCTTCTAAATTAGAAGTTAAAGAGGATTTTGGTCTGTGTGATTGACAGGCCAAGTCTGATGCACATTAATCGCTGAGTAGATGAAAATTAGGTTAATATGCCTGTCTCTGTTTCCAAGCAGGATTTTTTCAAATCTAATGAACTCTTTTACTGGATTGGACTCTCTTATAACGAAACGCGTGGCGCCTGGGTGTGGGAGGACGGCTCTGCTCTCTCCCAGGATCTGTAAGTTTCTGGAAGCCTGGTGGCTATCTTTGTGATTTTATCCTGAGACCAGACAGTGCAGGTAACGTCCAGGAGCACTGCAGCAAAGGTGACCCGTCTAGGGCACTAAATTGCAGGAAAGAGATTCGGTGCAACTGAATACAATTTTAGCCCAACCCAGAACATCCAGATTAATGCCCAAGTCACACGAAAGTGGGTGTCTTTATGCCCTTAACTTTTGATATGATTTTTTTGTTGTTTGGCTTTTGCAAAGATACATAGATATGTACATGTTGCAAACATGCTCACACATACAGAGGTATTTCCCAGAAGTATGATATCCATTTCTCCTTTATTCTTGGGAGGGCACGATATTCTCAGCGTCCTGCCATGTTTCAAGTATTCTGGGATTGTCTTCTGTATCCATGTATCTTTGATTACTATTTGCATTATGAACATGGAATTTGCAACATCATTCAATGACAAATTAGATTCTTTGATTTGTCTCCCTAGACTATATCAGCCAGTCCATCTTTAAACAAACAGAAGTGAAATATATCATCCAATAAGTTCATTAAAGACAACAGCAAAGACAAAAACAAAGAAATCCCTGGCCTTAAAGCTATTGATTATTGAGGATTTCTGTAACACTGTGCCCTGAAGTCATGAAAATTGTCATCATTATATGGAAAAAAAAAGTAAATGAATGCTTAATATGTTAATAGCTTATCAAATACTTTAAAAATTGTATTATTTAATAAAAAACACTATCCCTCAATATTCTCAT